TTATTATTATTATTATTATTATTATTATTATTATTAGTGAAACTAGAGAACAATCATACAAACAAAGAGGAATGCTGTTTTAACAAGAAATGCCAGCTTAACTATAAAAATAAATTGGAAAATGAACTTATTAACTAGAGAAATAACATATTAAAATAATTGCTATAATGCTCTTTGAAGTGTTTTAATTTAAATTTACATTTGCCTCAATTTGCCATTGTCAAAAGGAGACTGAAACTTAAAAGTAAAAAGGATTAAATGAAAGTTTGTGTGCAAGATTTTGCTCAGTAATTTGTCAGGAGGAAGACGGGATGTGAATTWGAAGAAGGGGAGAAAGGGGGCCTCAAAACATCTCTCTTTGTTAGTTTTAGCCACTGGGGCCCCTGTGGTTTGTGGCGGCTGTAGGGCAGAGCAGCCTATTCACCCTGTTCACCAAGGCAGAACGCTGCACAGGAAGACAGGAAGGAAGCGAGGCTTTTCTTCATGGAGGCATTGTCTATCTGAAGGCCCGGCTTTAAGCAAATAGCACCGTGAGTGACAGGAAGGCGGGAGGTAGAGATGAATTATATACTCAAAGAGCTCAATTTTATAAAATAATGTGATGAAATATGGGGAGGTCAGGCAAACGTGCTGCAAGTAATGACCAAGTGTTTAGGCAATTAATTAGGAAAATACCATGTTAACTAGAGAAATACTATATTAACTGGAGAAACAACGTTAACCAGAATAATGATGCATTAGCTGGAGAAACACAGTATTAACCCGAGAAATACTGTTTGGAAAAAATATGTTACTAAAAAAATACTGAATCAACCAGAGAAACAGGTTATCTAGAGAAACATTCAACCTAAGAAAAGTATGTTAATTAGCAAAAATACTGAGTTGACTGAATAATTACAGTTAACTAAAGAAATACTGTGGTTACTGGAAAAAATGTTAACTAGAGAAATACTGCATTAACAAGAAAATTCTATATAAATCAAAGCAATAATGCATTAATCTGAGAAATACAGTGAATATATTAACCAGAAAAATAGTGTTAACTGGAGACATACTGCATTAACTGAAAAATATATGTTAACTGTAGAAATGGTGAAAACCAGAGAAATGCTGCATTAACCAGATAAACAGTGTCAACTAGAAATATATTGTGTTAACTGAAAAAATACCATGTCAACTAGAAAAACACTTTCACCTTGAGAAATCCTGAGAAATACCATGCAAACTACAGAAATACTGCACTAACTGAAGAAATACTGTGTTAAATAAAAAGGTACTGTAGTAACTGAAAATGTACCAAGTTAACCAGAGAAATAC